CAGAAGTAGCCTGCAGTACTGTACGCTAACCACTGCCACCTTGGCTTATTTGGATCACAATCTGGCAATTAATTACATGGAAAAAAGGCCGCCTATGTACTATCCTATTTTTAACAGTTGGGTTGTTTTTTTAAAGAACATAAATCTATTCATTTAAATGTTCTTAATGCCAACAAGAATAATTTATTTTATTGAAACAAGTGCTTTCTCCTTCCCCTGGTAAGTTAATCATCTCGATTGGACTTTCTCTGTTACATATCCACACAAAACTATTGTCTCAAAATAAATTCTAATACGCTTCTGAGACATATTCTCTACTGAAATACCTTTAGTACTGTTTCTGTATTTGGCTCCAGATATATAGGATTTATCATTGATGATTAAAAGAAAATAGATTTTTGGGTAGGCACCATTATAAACATCATGAACTTACTTTCACAGTTCAGTGAAATCTGAGGAAAGAAGCTAGCCTTGGCTTATCATTTAATGTTCTCCCTTCAGTTCCTAACAATAACTTATTTCTCATTGACAGTTGCAGTTGCAGAGTTGGTGGGGCGGGGGGTTTACAGCTCCTGAATTGGAGTACCTTGGACTTACTGACCAAAATATGCCAAAATTAACTATGATATTATTATAATATAACTATAATATTATTATAGTTAAGATTAAGTTTATTATTATAGTTAAGATTAACTATATAATATGACAAGAGTACTACCAAGACTAGTGAAGTAATCTGCCTCTGTCTTACTAAAATACATTACAACATGGGAAGGCCTTGATTGATCAAAGGCAAAAAAGATGTTAAAGTTCAATACTGCATCACTGGGAACAGCTGAAGGCAACCAAGGCATGAATTAGTTAATGATGTGCAGTGTAAGAATAGAAAATGCCAAAGAGCATTAATCAACAAATGCAATAAAATAGATGCAATATCTGCAAAACCTAATGAATGCACAAAGGAAAGGAAGATATAATTTAATTATGAATGAAAGAGCAAAACTATCTGTCATAAAGAATGGATTGGGGTTATCTACAGTAGTTTAGAAATCCATAGTTTGGTGATATTGGCATGTTATCCAGCCCAGTGAACGTGATAATAGAACTAGGGATTTGTTTGGAGTGGAAATGTGCAATATGATTATTTCTTTTTTTTTCTCCTTTCCCTTTGTACTTTCATTGTTCAGAATTACAAAATCTGAATCTTCTGTTTAGCAGTAAACTGTAAAGTCCATCTTCTGACTTGGGCTCTATATTTAGATTTATATTTTACTGAAACTTGCCCTTGTTCTTTAAGAGGATTGATGTATGTAAAATGTAACCTTACTTGCTTCAAAGTATTGGGCACCACAAGAATGTAATTTGATGGAAACAGGTACTCTTTAAGTTCTTTAATACATGCTTTGCCTTTATGACTAAGAAGGGAAAGAAATAAAGTTGCTTTCCTTGTGGATCTTCACAGTCCAAATAAGATTCTGTTTTAGAGATCTGCTGTGTAATTAAAAGGCAGAGCATATGGGAATTAAGTTTATGCTTTCAAAGGAATTCTGACATAGTTGCAACAACAAGCACAAAATTAATATCAGGCAACTCTATTTTATAAAAAGGGCTAGTTTAATTTAACAGGGCATTTTGTCAAACTTCTGATTTATTATAAGTTCACCAATTGGAATCAGATAACAGATAATCAGAGTTGGAAGGGACCTTGTAGGCCATCTAGTCCAACACCCGCCCAAGCAGGCGACCCTATACCATTTCTGACAGATGGCAGTCCAATCTCTTCTTGAAAGTCTCAAATGATGAAGCTCCCACAACTTCTGAGGGCAAGGTATTCCATTGGTTGATTGTTCTCACTGTCAGAAAGTTTCTCCTTATTTCCAGGTTAAATCTCTTCTTGTTCAGTTTCCATCCATTATTCCTTGTCTGGCCTACAGGAGCTTTAGAAAATAGAATGACCCCTTCCTCTCTGTAGCAGACCCTCAAATATTGGAAGACCTCTATCATGTCTCCCCTGGTCTTTCTCTTTACTAAACTAGCCAAGCCCAGTTCCTGCAACCATTCGTTGTATGTTTTAGCCTCCAGTCCCCTAATCATCCTGGTTGCTCTTCTCTGTACTTTTTCTAGAGTCTCAACATCTTTTTTATCATGTGGTGAACAAAACTGGATGCAGTACTTTAAGTGTGGTCTTACTAAGGCTTTATAGAGTGGTATTAGTACTTCCCTTGATCTTGATTATATCCCTCTGTTAATACAATTTAGGATTGCATTAGCTTTTTCGGCTGCTGCTGCACACTGCTGGCTCATATTTAGCTGGTTGTCCACTAAGACTCCAAAATCCCTCTCACAGTTACTGCTATTGAGCCTGGTTTCACCCAGTCTATATGTGTCCTTTTGGTTTTTCTTGCCTAAGTGTAAGACTTTACTTTTCTCTACATTGAATTTCATTTTGTTAGATACGGCCCAGTGTTCTAGTCTGTCAAGATCCATGTGGATCTTGAGCCTATCTTCTTGGGTGTTAGCTATTCCTTGCCAGCTTAGTATCATCTGCAAATTTGGTAAGTTCATCTTCTATTCCCTCAACTCATTAATGAAGATATTGAAGAGTACTGGGCCTAAGACGGAGCTTTGTGGCACCCCACTGCTTACTTCCCTCCATATAGACTTAGGCCCATTAAGACTACTTGTTGAGTACAGTTTGTCAGCCAGTTGCGAGTCCATCTAGTGGTGTTGCTATTTATTCCACTTTTTTCTAGCTTACTAAGAAGTAGGTTGTGGTCTACTTTGTTGAATGCCTTGCTGCAATATAAATATATTATGTCCACAGTATTTTGCTGGTCTACTAATTTAGTCACTATATTGAAGAATGAAATAAGATTGGTTTGACATGATCTGTTCTTAACAAACCCGTGCTGACTGCTAGTTATTACTTTACTTGTTTCGAGATGTTGGCAGATCTGTTTTTTTATTATCTTTTCCAGTACCTTCCCGGGTATTGATGTTAGGCTGATTGGTCTATGGTTTCCTGGGTCTGTTTTTTTTCCCCTTTTTTGAAGATGGGAACCACATCAGCTCTTTTCCAGTCCTCTGGTAGTTCGCCGGTGCTCCAGGATTTTTGAAAGATATGGTGCAGTGGTTCTGAGATGACCTCTGCCAGCTCCTTTAAAACTCTGGGATGTAATCCATCAGGCCCTGGCGATTTGTGTTCATCAGGTGTTCTCTTACTATTTTTTTGCTTATTTTAACTTTTATTTCTGGCCTGTCTTTTACAGTTGTGTTTTTGGTAGGTTCAGCTATAGTTTCTTTTTGCGTGAAGACAGATGCAAAGAATGAGTTAAACAGTTTTACTTTCTCTCTGTTGTCTGTTACTTCTTTGCCGTCTTCTCAATCAACTGTTTCCTTGATTTTTTTCTTGTTATTTATATGTTGGAAGAAAACTTTTTTTATTATCTTTGACTTTTGTTGCAAGTCTTTGTTCGTTCTGTGCCTTTGCTATCCTGACTTCGTCTTTGCAGATTCTGGCTATCTGCTGATATTCTGCCTTAGTTGTACATCCTTCTTTCTCTTTTTTGCAGTTGTTCTTTTTTTTCTTTCAATTTGCCAGAGAGATCTTTTGCAGCCATGCTGGTTTCATCTTGGATTTCTTGTTTTTCTTTCTCAGTGGTATTGTGCTGGTATGGGCTTCTATGATCATACTTTTCAGAGTTTCCCAAGATTCTTGAATTGTTTTCCTCTTTAGGATTTTCATCCATGGAATCTTTCCCAAGTTCTCACTGAGTTTATTAAAATCAGCTCTTTTAAAATCCAAGACTCTGGTGTTATTATGTTCTATTCCTTGTGTTTGTGTTATGTTGAATTCTAGTTTGATAATCTCGTGGATGAGTAATGATTGTCAGGAACAACTTATAAACAGCCTCTAATATTCTAATTAACAGTGTATATTAATACATCCCTTTCATTATTTGGCTCCCACCTTGCATTTAATGAAATTATGCATTAGCTTCTTGAAGCTGAAAGATAACTAAGCATTACATTCTGAGAATCAACAAACTGACAGACTCCAATAAGTAAGTTATAAAGCTATATGTGCTTTCTCACGTTAGATGTCATGAAGTCAATTATCTAATGATTATACTTCCCTTGAAAATGCCGGTTACAAATTCACATTCTGCTTTCCATTCTCCCTTCATTCATTCTGTTGCTACTCATAAGATTTTTTTTATTGGTCTGTTCCTGTGCATTCAACTGGATCATTAAATATGGCTTTAAACACTAATTGCCCAAGGTTGTTATCCATGCTGCTATTAGCAACATTCTTATTTGTTGTTATTGATTGGTTGTTATTGAAAAGCAATATAGAAAATAAAAAAAAAACAGGAAACCAGAGATGAAATCGATATTTCAGTGTTTCCTTATTGAATAATTTGTACAGGAAATGCAGGTAGAGACTTTGCAATACTTTGATTTGAATTCAGAAACATCAAATGATTGAATTATTGAATCTGCAGCTCATAAATCTTATATCCAAGGTTAAATTATTGCTTATGAGTTGTACAAAACTAAGCTTAAAAATAAAAGGGAAAATAACGTGAAAGGTGAATTGAAATATTTATGGACAAGATGATTAGATGTCCATCTATTAACTTGTACAGAGAAAAACTAAAGAAATACAAATTAAATACTATATCACAGAAGACAGAATTCACATTAACATATTTATGACAAGCATATTGGGAGAATGGTGAAAAATCTGGTAAGATGTTGGCTGTTTAAAGCAAAAGAAAGATAGAGCAATAGTTTCAATTATTAAAAGTGAAAAAGAAAGAAGGAAAAGGGGCAAAAGAAAAAGAAAGAAAGAGGGAGAGAGAGAAAGAAAAAAGAGAAAGAAAGAAAGAGAAAGAAAGAAAGAAAGAAAGAAAGAAAGAAAGAAAGAAAGAAAGAAAGAAAGAAAGAAAGAAAGAAAGAAAGAAATTATTCATAAACTCTGTCTCCTTCCTTCCTAGGGCACAGTCTTGCAAAGGTGGCTCGTGCACAGACATTTCCCAGCTACACCTCAGAACAGGGTGAGGAGCATGAGCCACGCCTGTCCCTTTCCAGCAGCTATGGATTCAGCTACAGCTCGGACCTTGTGCAATGACACAAATCTGGTGTTTGAACAGAGAGACGCTCTAACGTGGAACCTACCTGCAGGCCCTGGAAGCCACTGATCTTTCCTTAGGTTCTCCAGAGAAGACAGTTGGTAGTGAAAACCGAGAAGTCTCCCACCTGATGACAGTGGAAGTGAAAACTTGGATCACTGTCTCCTTGAGGCAGAAGTCTAAGTCTTTTATTTATTTAAATTTTATAGTTGTTTTTGTCCATGTTTTTTTAAAAGAAGAATTCCCTTGAAAATAATGGAAGTATGCAGTCAATGTTTCTGCATAACCACAAACATTATGTGCTCTAAGAGGGTGGATGTCATGTTTGCAATATTAGGCTTTTGATCAACTCTGCCATCAGATCTGCTTGTCCATGACAGTAACCACTTTTATCTCCAAGGCATCAGCCTGGCTCATTCTTACATGTTACAAAACTTCAAAGGGTTTGGAAGGCTTCCTTCCGATAATTATGCACATTTTAGTCCCATTAACGTCCATGGGATTTATGCATGTCTATCTTTAGGACAATAACCTAAAGTTTCACTTGTGAGAAGAAGCCAGTGACTCTTAATCAGATTCTCATTATTAAAATTAATACCCAAGATAGATAAATAGATAGATACTGTCAATGGGATGGCATGGTGATGCTTAGTAGCCTTTCAGAAAATAGATTGTGTCGTGTTATTAAGAGGTAATTTGCCTAGAATATTTGCCACACTGAATTTTTATGCCCAGATTTAATCTTATCTATGTGCATTCTGAACCTAATAACCCACAGCTTTCTACTGGGAACAGTGGTTATAGATGTTAAGGAAGACCGTGTTTACAATGCACTCGTCAAAGTCTTCCTTTTGTAGATAATTTTTGGATAGTTGAATTTGTAGTCAGTATACTTTTAACCCTGTATACTGTGCAGGTAAGAATTGACATCACATAACTTGATGGCAGCCCAACATTCCATAGTTTTGCACAGCAAGTTGCCTGGCTGGTAGAATAATTTCAAGAGCAGTTATTTTTATGGAGGTCTTTTAGACAACAACATGGATTTTCTCTCTTCCTTATACAGCACAGCTGTCAAACTCGCAGTGTCACGTTGTTGTCACATGATGTATCGCAACGTTTTTCCCCTTCATAGAGCTCGGGTAGGCGTGGCCTGCAGGTGACGCACTCGTGGGCCACCAGTTTGACACCCCTTTTTTCAGCATTCATTTTGTGGTGGATTCTCTGCACTAATACCTTACTCAGTTTTATCCTGGTCATACCTACAAACCCATTGTGCACTTACATTTTATTACAGGTAGTCCTCACTTAACAACCACTGTTGGGACAGGCAAGTCTGTCACTAAGTGATGTTGCCTTTAAGCGAAGCATCGTGTGACTGCAACTTACAATTTCCTGCTAGTTTTTCCATTGGCACTCTGCTTGTCAGCTAAGAAGTGAACAAATAGCAACACAAAATGATCATAGGAATGCTGCAAAAGTCACAAGCATGTGGCAAGTATGTGTGGTCATAAAGTTATTGGTTCAATGCCGCTATACTTTTGAATGGTCATTAAACAGGGCACTTGTTAAGTGAGGATTATCTATAAACAATGACTTTTTAGTCCTTCCTATGGTCAGTCGCATGGAACTGGATTGTTTAAAACTGTAGTCTTTTACTGACATATTTTGCCTATTTCAAATTTTTCCAACTATATAAAACAAATGGTGATAGCAATGAGTAGAAGAAGTGAAACTATTGAAGATCTGAGTAAATTTTTCAGAACAATATTTTCAAAATCCATCATGTGTCATGGTTATACTAATTTGTAAGATTTAACTGCATTTATTCAGGGTTTTCATCAATATAAAAGCATTTGTTACCACCATCACCCATCATTTCTTAAGTTCAAATATTATTCCATACCAAAATCAAAATCTTTCAAACAGAGGATATCAACATTGAAAAGATTATCATTGATTGTCTTTAAGCACTAAAGAAAAGGAACACAAAAATGGTCTTTTGCAGCTGATCTCTAAAGCAAGTCTAGCCATTTGGAATGCAAACTACATAGAGTGGCATTTTAATTTTGAATGGAATTTAGAAGAAAACTAATTTAGATCAAAGAAATATTGAAACTTGAAAGACATGCTTCATATAATAGTCCCCTTGCCATAAAAATCTGGCAATGTTACTCTGCTTTCCATACAATGTTTGAATATCACCCTTCAGCGTAAAAGAGGTTCTTTCTTCATTTTTGCGTATAGTCCAATTCTAAACAGATTAAAATAAAATAAAATTACAGTCACACTGGTGGTAAATGCTCATGTGTAATTTATTTAGAGTATCAACCTTGAAGTCATTTCCATAGTAGAACAAGGCCAGAACTAAAATAAAATAAAGTAAAGCTTTGTATTGGAGCACACGCAATGTATGGATCTTCTCCCCTACAGGCATATACTCAAGAATGTTATTTTTGAGAAGGCCTGAATTTTTACTAAATGTTGTGACTTACAAATAAATTGCACAGAAAGAAATCAAGTAGGGTCCCCACCCATGTAAAAGATGAAATAGCACTCACACTGGCCATAAAATGAGATGTAGAAGAAATCAGTTGAGCTGTAGGCATGGTGAAACAAAAAGAAAAGGAAAAAGGAATTTTCCCATCCAGTATCTTTCAGTCTCCATAAATGTTGTCAAAGCAAACAAATAGTAAGTAACTGTCAGAAATTATTTGCTGCTAGCAGACTACTCCATCAATGAAGTTTCTGCTTTTCATTGTTTTATCAAACCAGCACAGAACACGTTGAAAGGAAGAGAATCAACTTTCCTATTCCATTAAAAGATCAAGTTTTATCTTCCGCAGTTTGATTGAAAGAATTTTGCTTTTTTTCCTTTTGTAAATGATGTGAAGGAAATGTCTACTTCAATTAAACATTTATTAATACATTACAGTGGAAGATTTTTCTTACCCAAGCTTTACTTGCAGTCTAATCCCTTGCAGGCTTATACACCTCAGTGAAGAGCTGCTGAATGAAACTGGTGTGTGATCTGATGAAATTAATCACTCTTCCCTCCATGCCAGCATCTCTTCCACTTATTTTCTTTTATCTTGCTCACCATGTTTCCACTGACTAAAGAGAACAACTTCCTCTGCAGGAGAATGATAAGCTACCAACTACAACAAGGCAAAATTACTGTTCCTGGTTGTGCTAACATGCAACCATTCTCTTGCTGTAGCTCTGGTCATCCATTTGACAATTTCAATATGAAATGACACTCCTCTGGATTAATTAGGGTATTAGTCAATGTCACTATATATGAATTATATTCATCCAGACAAGTTTTCTTTGAACTTAAAAGGAGAAAAATACACATAATTATTTCTACGGAATGATTTCAAAATGACAAAAATGATCTTATGTCCCAAATAAGAATTGCCTCTAGATATGTTTTTGAAATAGTCCATACTACTGTTCTTTATTTTCCCATGAGAAAATAACACTCAGAAAAGTCCCCTATATTCCCATTACATAATTCTGTGAGTTTCCATTGTCAGAATCTGCTTTCATTTACTCATTACCCATCCTTTTCAGAATTGCTAGGATGGTGAACTTCAGCTGGATTGCATCAAAGAACAGGTACAAAAACATGCAAATACACGAAAGCAACCTTTTGCAATGAAGTTTCTTTCGTATATTAATTCCTAAACTTCCCAGCTGGCATATTACCTGAGGGCTGCAGTTCTAACACTCTTATACAGTGCCAATTAAGGAAGGTCAACCTAATGCAAGCTATATCATAAAACCCTGGGTGTCTGTTTGATAGTAATAGCCCTTCGAATAATGCCGTAATTTACTTATTCATAGCATCTCCTGTAAGAGTGACATTTCACAAAATGTACAATTTTTAAAAAGCTATAGGAATGGTCATATTTTGAAATTCCCTTAAATGACCTAAATTGCTAAAAGAAAACAAATAGATGTACTTGGATCTAATCCATGGATGTCAAACTCGCTTCATGGGACACATCGAGACGTACCCTTCATTAAACCAGGCATGGCCGTGGCCAACGCATGACACATCTGGCCCATGGGCCACGAATTTAACAGCCCTGATCTAAACAAAGGGGGGGTTATCCAGATGACTAAGGCAAAGCAATAGCTCAAATTATGGAACTGGTTTAGTCGAGCGTGCAGCCTTGCATGTCTAAACGGTCTTGCTGTTTCCCATTCACCCAAGGGAAACAAGCTATTCCACAGCCCAGAATTTCCCAGTTGATAGGCAAGTAGATCTATTGACTGAGGACTCTGTTAGAATTAATTCATTGTACTTAACCTGCAAGACTGTTCTAATTCAAGAGGAATGCTCTCAAGATTACTTTGGTTGTACGTTTCTTTTCAAAGAATTCTGCAAGAACCCTTGTGGGGTTTGGAGCCAGGATAGTCTTGGGGAAGAAAGGTTCACACACACACCCATTTCATGTACATGAACTAAATTACAGGTAATCCTCAACTTAAAACCATTCATTTAGTGACTGAAATTACAATGGTACTGGAAAAAAAGTGACTTAGGACTAGTTTTTACATTTACGACCATTGCAGCATCCCCATGGTCATGAGATCAAAATTTGGGTGCTTAGCAACTGGCACAAATTTGCTACAATTGCACTATCCTGGGGTCATGCAATCACAGTTTGCACCCTTCCCAGCTGGTTGCTGACAGGCAAAGACAACGGGGAAACCAGATTCATTTAATGATCACATGATTCACTTAACTGCAGTGATTCACAACTGAAGCAAAAAGGTGTAAAATGGGATGCAATTCACTTAACTGTCTTGCTTAGCAATAGCAATTGTGGGCTCAGTTGTAGCTGTAAGTCAAGGACTACTTGTATATGTGAAGTGCATCTTTGTATGCCCAATTTAATGATTTCACAGAATGAAGAGTTCACTCAGCATTCTATATTGATCACCAAGGCCAACTGCTGATCAAACCAAAACATAAAAATTAAAGTTCTATAAAAGGGAATCTAAACACTGAAATTAATATCGGTTATATTATGTCATCCTGAAGTAAATCTGAGTTATTGAAAGAAATGGATTGCTTTGCATCAATATCCCATCATCATTCTGATAGAAATAGAACATAAGGTTTTGGTCTCCATCTAAATTATATCCTCTCTCCTAATTCTTAATAATATTTACAAACATATATGATATCAGAAGAATTTCCTGATACCTGTAAGATATGCCTCAATCTCTACATTTTTCTCAGTGACTATAGGCATTTTAGAATGGTGGTTTATTCATAATTAACTGGTCCGGTCTAGTAATTTAGTATTTGGTTTTCAATAATGCTGTGAAGTTTGAATACTGGAATCAAGTAGGATTAACACAAACTGCCTTCCTACCTCTTACTCAGTCTTTACTATTATCTGATACAGAGTGAACCTAGTTGTCATCCCGGTTCCCCAGCTTGTTTCCCAGATGGAATTCTCAAAATAACAGTGAATACTAAGATCATCAATCAACCTTCACTTTCTCCTTTCCCATGTTGATCTGCTTTTCAACCATTTCATTTTTCTTGGAGAAGTTAAACTAAGAATCTCACACTTGAAAATTCACAATGTAAAATGTCAATAAAGTTAAATCATTTTGGAGGAAGAGAAAATTATGAGCCATATATATTTCTCTAAGATGTTGTTGATTCTTTAAGAGAAGCTTCTGCCACCTTGGGTGAATGAAAGTTGTTTTAAGAGTATTTGGGGCAGAAGCAGGATTTTTGTGGCTTAAAATGGCATTCAGCTACTGTTCACTGATGTGCTGTCTTGGCAGAATGATACATTTACTGTTGTTTCTTGTTCTATTAATGGAAAGAGTTAAATACACTGCTCTTCTGCTCTGTGTGATGTGATGATCCAGTTTTCCCTGTGAACCAAACCATCTATGAAATTTGAATTAAATCAGATTTAAAAAGTACCAAGATGTAGTGTGTAATTTGCCCTCTCCACAAAGCTCAAAATTTTGGAACAAAAGCCATCCACCAAACAAAATAGAAATACGTTAGGCAAAAAAATTTAATAGGTTGGTAAGAATCCAACTTTTAACATATCTAAAGAACACAGAGTTGGAAAAGGCTGTTTATAAAGAAGTATCTGTATTGCTATGTCACTATGAAGTTCTAAAAGCTGGAGAGAAATGCTGAGAACTTGAAGAATGTCATGCCACAATAAAAACATCTGATATTTATATTATTCATATTGAGCATGATAACACAGTCCATTTGTGACCACTTAAAATGTCCGCTATGATCCCAAATGGACTGCAAACTAATTTTACTGTGCTAGGGGACAAAATCTTCAATACAATGGGGCCCTAATCATGTTTAATTTTAATTCTATTCAATTAACTTTCCTTGGGGCCCTTCCCTTTAGAGCACAGGACTCAGACATGTTGCATGACACTGGTTTAGAGAAAATGGCCAGGAGGATTAGATCAAATATTTATCAGGGCATTGTCTATGCTAACTTCACAAGACCAAATCAGCTCAGACCCTGCAGCTTCCAGAATCGAGTGCAATCCCTTTTTGATCAAGAGAATGTCCTAAGCTCATGCCAAAAATATAACCAGCAATGAGATCGCCTAGAAGTGGTAGTTTATTTTTTCAGGTAGAAGGAAACTATTCTGAATCTAATGTGATTTTAGTGGTATTATAATAGACTGTGTGCTTGCACATTTATGCATTGGTACATACCATATTAGCCGTTCTGGCTCCCCCAGTAAGAATGTCCTAACCCATAATCCATACATTTACACCATCTCAAAATCCTGGGCAAAGCCTGATACCACCACTCTTTACCAGAGAAGAAACTGATTTGAAGTTTTAAATTCATTTTTGGAGTTACCGGAGAGGCTGCAATGCAAGGTAGGATTCTTTGTTAGGATGAGACTGTGATTCCACAAAAGAAACAGAATTTGTTATGTAGATTAAATTTAGAGCTAATTGAGAATTGTAGACAATAGGAGAAATCTTGCAGACTCTAATCTTTTCAGCAGGAATATGCATGCATAATAGAGGGAGTGTGTGTGTGTGTGTGTGTGTGTGTGTGTCTTATATCAAGGATATAAAGAAACAATTCAGATAAATTCAGAATGTGTTTTTTTTAAGAGTCTAATCAGTGGTGTATTAACCATTAAGCAGACGAAGCACGTGCTTAGGGCACCAGGCCCAAAGGGCACCACAAAGTTGAGAATATGTCTTCATTTGTACAGTATGTACAAAGGAGGGAAGCACCAAGATTTGTCAGTGCTTAGGGCACCAGTGAGCCTTAATCCGCCACTGAGTCTAATGTACATCTATCTCTATATTTCCCAGTGGTTAGTTCCTTCAGACCTCCTTTGTTTGGAATGCCAATCCAAGAAGAAAAGTCATCTCAGGGTAGAACATTAAAAAAAAAAAAAAACACAAAATGGAGGTTTCCCATCTTTTAAGGCCCACCTGAAAGGGAAACTTGCTCCTGATTGAGTCAATTGTTTGAATTTCCTGATTTTTGCAGGCTTTTGCCTGATTGTGTAGAATGATTGGTTTATATTTATGCTGATTAACTTTGACATTTGCTCTCCTAAATCTTTGGAGATGAGATTTCTCTTCCTTCCCTCAGATGCAGACTTCAACCATGACTCTCACATAACAGCATCTTGTTGACAGATCTGCTGAATCAAAGTTACCGTATATTTGACAGCACCCTTATTTGGAAGCTCACTTTGTACAAAAGTAAGTTTTTTGCTTCCGAGTTATGCTATGAATGAGAAAATAAAATTACACTACGTTAAAGTAACACCCAACTGATATTACATAGAATCATTTATTAATACATAAGTTAAAACAAAGATATTCACAAATAGCTGCATCGTCACTGCATGAATTTCTTTTAACTAAATTGCTTGTTTGGATGCCTGCTGACTCTAGTCAACATTTTCAGATATCAGGAATGCTGCATAAACTATGACAAAACTATATCCGTTCTGGTCATGAGAACTGCATTTTTCAATTGGCAGAGATTTGTTAGTGGCATGTTACCAGTTAGGTTTAGGAAAGGGGGGAGGGCATCATATTTAGACTCAAGAAGACTTCTATTTCCTGCTTGAGTAGGGGCTTGGACTACTAGAAGACCTCCAAAATCCCTTCCAGCTCTATTGTTTTATGTTCTATGGAAATATATCCTATCTCTTGAGTGTGCTTCTGAAGAGCTAGATCCTGCCAGTTCTATTTAGCACAGTAAATTTTTGTTCTGTGTCATATAGTTAACAGCGTTTTTGAAAATGCAGGTATACCACTACAAATCAATTCATCTAAAAAGAAAAAGATGCTGTTTTTATTTTAAAAAATCCTGTTTTCTTGGTTTATTAGGTAAAAACAAAACCATTGGTTATCTTGTTATATTCTGATTCTAATCCCAGAGATCAATAGGATGAGTTGAGGTAGTTCATCAATATACAAGGTGGTAAGTTCACTTTTGCATAACCTGTTTACAGTTGACATAGATCGGATCATCTGTTGCAGTAGGACTTTGATTTGCATTTCCTGAACCCTGACCAGCCCAGTTTTTGTATTGATGCTGGGTCTATAAAAGAAAGAAAGAAAAAGACAATAATGAAATAAATAACAATAAAGACTGTCCTTCAAACACAAAAGCTCACAACAGAGGCAAATTTTCTTATGCTGCATTTTAAGAGTTAAATATCAAAACAATAATACACATGCATGTTATATTATTGCAGATGTGATAGGCATTAAAGAAAAATTGAGATACAGAATAGATTCACATCTATTGCTAAGCCATAATTTGTGTAACTGAGGTTTATATAATCCATAATTACCTGAGTTAACACATTAAACGAAAACCAAATCAATCTCATGATGTAAGTTGATGCATGACCCCAGCAAAATAATTTCTAATCCATACCTCATACTCAAATGAAGAATTTTATTTAGCCAGGTGTCTTCTGTCATGTGGATAGCTGCACTTTACAAGGAAAAACTGTAGAACTCGTTGTGTTCAATCTCAGAAGAGGCACAGAGGAGCATTACGTCAAAATAAATGTGGAAATAGGAACTTTTGATTTGACTTCACTTTAATTCTCATTGTAGGATAAAAAAATTTAAAGGCTTAAAATACTATGTGCTAGTAGTGCTAGCTACTGTGCTAGTTGCACATATTCCCAGTATGCACCAGAGCTTGTACCTGCTAGTGTTACAAATTAAATAAATGCATTTTGAAATTAAAATGGCTACAAATGTCATGACATTTCAGCAGTCTCATTCCAGAGCTTTCTGCATGTGATTTACTGTGAATTTTTTAAAAAATGTAATTTGCCTAGACAGGAAATCACACAATTGTGCAGGTGTTCCAAAATGCTGCTGATCCATAGCCTGTATGCTCATTCTCACACACACACACACACACACACACACACACACACACACATGCAGTCCTCACTTAACACTGGTAATTGGGACTGAAATTTCAGTCACCAAAAAACTTGGTGGAGTCATAAAATGTGATGTCACATGACACTTAGCAATGGTGGCACCAGCAATCCCTGATTGCTGTTATTAAACAAATCAATGTAGGTCATTAAGCAAGGATCTCATGTGATCATGACTTTGACTTCCTTCTGATTTCCCCATTCGTTTTATTTGAAGGGAAGGTCACAGATCATGATCTTGGGAAGCACTGTGATGCAGTGGTAGGATACAATTTTTTTTTACTACTGGTTCTGTGGGTGAGGCTTGGTGGGCGTGGCAGGGAAGGATACTGTAAAATCTCCAGTTAAGAGGTGGGATTTGCCGGTTCTCCAAACTACTCAAAATTTCTGTTACCAGTTCTCCAGAACTGGTCAGAACCTGCTGAATACCACCTCTGCCAGATAGTAGTAAAGCAATGAAGGAAGGTCCCCACCCCTCAGATAGAAAAAGAAACCATGAGGCAAAAAAAATTCAAACACAATACAAATAATTAAATCACAACAGTAGCTGTTGCTTGTTGAAACTGAATAGGGAAAATTATTCCATCAATAAACACGGGATTAAATGTCACCAAGCACAGAATTAACCTTCACCAAAAACCAGTTTTAGACCAAAACTCAGAAAGGGTATTAAACTCACGTTTGAATGTCAATCTTTCTAGCTAGCCAAGAAGCCTTGCTGAATGTCACTCATCTTGGTTCCCCGTCACTAAAAGCTTTGCTTCATTATTCAATTATTTCTTCAAAGTGCTGATTGTCCAGGGAAGTATTTTCTCCCAACAACAGTGTAAAAATCTTAAAACAACCCTTCCCCTTTAAGAAAGTCAAGCCCCAGAAGCTCCGGAGACAGGAAGTCTAGGCATACTGGCAAGAATGTAAAAAGGGTGGAAAAATAAAAGGAGATTGCTTCTAATTACCGGTTCTCCAAACTGCTTAGAAAATTAACAAGGGGTTCTATAGAACTGGACAGAACCGGTAAGAAATGTGGGTCAGTTAGCAAGTGCCCATATAGTGATGAATGTGACTACAGAAATGTTGCAATGGCTGCAACTTCAAGGACAAGTCACTAAATGAAGGTTGTTCAGTGAGGACAATCTTGTCTAAATAAACCATATGACTCTTCCTACTTCTTTGAAATGACAGCATCTTCTATAAAGATGCTGTCAAACATGCTTTTAGCTATTGGAAATATTCTTTTAAAAACTACTTATTCTCGTCAAAGCACCCTTCTACTGCCTACATCCTGCATTATCATTGCTGTGCTAGTTCATGGAAATCATCCAATTTAATACTGTTTTTTTTTCCTCCAAGAATGGAAAAAAGATTCAACTGCAACTGATTCTTCTATTTTTCCTCTCTAGAAAGGGAACAAAGAAAGCTGAACAAAGAAAGCCAAATCCTCAGCCTTTCAGGCTAATATAGTTGTGAAACTACCAAGCTGGCAAACCATGAAAAGCTGAGTATTAGCTACCTAATAGGAATAAAACAGAATCAGCTCAGCCAATGACTACTATGGATAAACAAGAAAATTTTGAATAGAATATATGACGTTCTATGTGACTTATAGATTCTCAATTATAATGCCATTCTAGAAATAAGTAAATAAAGCCTTTGTGCTTTGTGAGCATCTTATGTAAATTGCCCTGGGGCAGTTTGAAGGGTGCCAGAGGTTCTCCACTTTGTTGTTCAAACAATTGTTTGTCTTACAAAATGTTATCCTAAGACCATAAGAACAACAGCGCTGGACTAGGCCAAGGCCCACCTGGGTCCGTGATGTCATCCAGATACTTCTGGTTGTCAGGAGTAGAAATTGAAGACATATCCACTTCTTGCCATTGTTTCCTGCAACAAGTATCTCTAGACATGCTTCCCCCCAATGAGATCCTAGTTGAAGAAGCTCTTGAACCCAAAACGCACAGCTACATTTCTGACACAAAAATGTTTCCTAAACTGGATATCCCTGTGATCCCCTCTGTCCAGGTACTAGATGTAATGGAATGGATGAATGGAATTCTCTGAGTCTAAGAAAGAAAAGGGATGTTTACTGAACATGATATATAAGGGCCACAAGAATATTTCAACCTTATCCCTTTAGCAAGGTTACCTTTTCAAAAGACTATGGAGGGAAAGGATCAAGAGAACCCTGCCTTAATGTAATCAGTAATGTGAGGTCTACATATACTTATCTAACCCATTTTTCCTTGCATTAAGCCTGATTAATAAGACTCTCTGTGAATCCCCTTAATCATGTGCTACTGTCAGGAGTTTGACACTGTGACTGGTACAGTTATTAAAAAATAGTGTTTCCATATGGTTTGGATCCTTTGCCCACAATGAGAGTATTGATTTTTTAAAAGTCCACTAATGAAACAATTGCCATTTGCACATACCTGTCTACAAGTAGTTTTGTAATCTCTCATCTTCTTAATCCTTTTTCTCTTTTTGGTGACACAAAACCTAAATGAACAAAAATAATTTTGTGGTTGTTAGCTATTAATTCTTTTTATCATGATTAAAACTTAAATTATTTTAAATTGCACAACTAAATTAGGATGCGTAGGTAAATAAAATGTTACCCAAATCAACTTAACTGAAATCTACCAGCACAGTAGTTTCCATATCACTCCCATCAAGAATTTCAGCATTCCCAACAAAAAATCCTTTAAAAAAATACTGGAAATCTTATGTGGACTTTTTGTTGAAATAAGAAAAGACTGAATTGATGATTTGGGGAAATCAGGAACTAAGAACAGAAGACGAGAATATTTAGACACCAATTACTTGATATAGAGGGAGCACATAGTTTTATTATTTCTTTTTCTCTTTATCTTATTTTCTTTTTGTTTGTTTGTATTTTTATTAGATTGAAACATTCTAATAAAAATATACAAGAACAATTTTAGACTCTTAATGATATTCAGAATAAGAGTCTGAAAGAGAGAAGCCTGGAACAAAAGCCACATTTTTATGTGTTTGCAAAGGTCCATTAACTAACTTGTAATTGAACATTTTCAACCAATTGCTACAGACTGAGGCATGAAAAAACTGTTTTCCTTGGAAGAAATCATCAAGATAGGTTCCCCTAAATGCTTCCATGCCAACTGTAACAACTTGCAGCAAAGACAATATAGTTATCCCTCCTTGTACAGAGATCAGCACAACATTAATTTGATAAGCTACCAAAAAAGCTTTAGATATCATGACAGCACACAAATTTTGGGGTCATAGCATACTGGGTGCATTCTGCTATAGTACTGAATCATATCTTACCTTCTGTATGTAAGTATGACCACAATAACCAGGATTAAAAAGGCAACACTTCCAATAAAAATCATATGCAGCTTAGTAAATAAAGGTGCTAAAAAGGAAATAGAGTAAATATAATCAATAAGAGGAAAGGTTGATTTTCTGATCAATACAACATCAGAAGACATTTCAAATAACTATGAATATGGAAGTCTTAAATATACAAGAAGAAATGAGAAGGACAAGAAGACCAGAGTAGAATGTATGGAATATAGAAAAATGACTTATCTTCCGAGATTATTGTAATCATCTCATTTTAATTGTAATCAATTTAGAAAGTCGATCCACATTTACTGACTATTTTGAATATAAATGGTACCATGCTTGCAGCTATGTAGTGCTTATAGAAGACACTCCCCGAATAATTTCCTGTGTATGTATTCGAAGTACAAAGATAAATAATTTGTTGGCATCAAATACAATGAAATGATTTAAATTATATTTTGCTAATAAGGCATCATTACATGCTTCTATAAGCAGCACCTGGCACATGCTCCTATTAGATAATTGGATTTGATAAACCTAGACCAGGATTTTCTCAATCTTGGCAACTTTAAGAAGCCTTGGTTGGGGAGTTCTGGGATTGTAGTCTACACATCTGAAAGTTGTCAAATGGATAATCACTGACATAGACAGGGCAGCAGAGCTGTGGAAGCCGACGGCTCTCTAAATGTAAGTTCAGGTTGCCACAGTAGTGTTAGAGAGTATAGGCCAATGGAAGGAATTCTTGAAAGTGCAATTCTGTACAGTCATCAGTTCCTCTTCCTCACCTTACAATATGGAATTACCTTGAGTGAAGGTTTATCAATCATAGATAGCTTTCAAAACATGTTCTTGGTTCCTTTTCAACATGTGTTTTTTTTTGGGGGGGGGGACTTTGCCTCCAATGCTGTATCAAGGACTTTCACAAAGAAGAAACCCTCCAAGATAGTCATCTGAGAACCGGATATTAAAGATGTTCCATTTTTGTATTGTTCATGAATAGTAAAATTTCTACTTTCTGTGTTAAGGCAGGCTTTAGATACTATCTCATAATAAGAACTCCTAGAGAATCTATGACACTTTTAAAAGGATTAGTTTCTTTAAATAAAAAACAGAAAGCCTACATAAAAGTAGTCTTTATATTATATTTAATATAAATTCAAATCTCAAAGGCTGAGGAAGATAACGGTTGTCTTGAAGAAACTTATCAAACTGATCTTCTAAAAATCTAAGTAAAGCTGATTATTAACTTTCTATGCTACTGTCTGAGACATAAAGCTGAAAGATTGTTTTCCAGCTTGTTTCTCAAAGCTATGCTTGGGAATAAAGCATGTCACTGTGTGTGTGACTTCAAAAGCTGAAAGAACCAACACACTCTGTTGGAATACTTCTCAGCCTTTGAAAATGTGATTTAATGGAGTTATAACTAATCAGATGGGAATTGCTGCTTGTCTCCTTTTCCTCACATAAAATCCCATAATAGGTTGTATTTCCCATCCTGTTTTTGAGGCTCATTTGCTGCAATGAGTCTCAAAATTAATAAAGTACTGATAATCTGTGTTTTGCAGAGCTAAAAAATGTCCTTTGCTTAATCTAGACAGAAGAATCTATCACAGTGTTTCTCAAAATCATTCTTTAGAAGAATGAAGATAGGATGTCAATTTTATTAGGGGTTCTGGCTCTAAGTGTCCCCTTCAAAAATGCAATGAATCTTAGACAAATTTAAATGCTATTGGGGACTTCAGATTCCAGGCTCCTCTTGCCTTATTCCAGGACTTCCCTGCTTAAGATTGTACAGTCCAGGGGTTTCAAATGACCTTCCAAGATAGGGAATAGTTTGAGATTGGTCCAGGTGCTAATTAATTAAAAAGCACTTTGTCAAGCTGGATGACATCTTTTCTGTCACACCTCCAGTTTTCAAAACACTTCCTCAGAATTGGCATACAAGGGGAAGATTGGCTGACTGGCTACCTGGCCTGAACTCACAAGGTTAGGGCTGAATAGGGCCTAACCTTATGTATGATATCTTCTTCAGAGTTCACCATACCCTTAACCCTTCAATTATTACCCAACAATTACATAGAGTTCACTTAAGTTCAGCAGTCAATAGAAATTTATCAAGGTATCTTCATCAGTGTTCTGGAGCATCCATGATTTGGAATATATTTTATACAAAGACATTATATACCAAAAAAATGATTTCAACCTTCCCCCCAACCAAACTCTGCAAAAGAAATGGTCAGCTTTGACTCAAAGGCAATAAGAAAGTTGCACTCTCAATACAACTTCGGCTGTACGTCAGGAGCATTCAGTGATCTACCGGCTCTCTGTGGTTTGGCTAATAACAGCTGATGGGGTAATCTAGTTTCAGAATGATCACAGTTTTGTAGTCCTCATTTATTTTATTTAATTCAGAATCTTTTTTAAAAAAATAAGAATAAACCATGCCTGGATGCTCTTTATTTCTTTGTAGTGATTGAGATGCAAACAACAAAAGGTCTGTTTCTTTTTTCTCCCCCCGCCCCCTTTTTTTCCCCTCAGGATTTCAAGTCAGGCATAAATTTCCACCCATTTTAATGTATCAGCCCTATTTCCTAGAAACAAGATGTGGAAGGCAGAGACAACTGACATCCCTCCCCTCTTCAAGGAGAGGAAATACTTATTAAGCCTGCCTTGAAGTTTAGTTCTAGAAACATGTAGGCGAGTGATTTCAACCTTCACTGCCCCTCGACTGCAATTCTCTAAAAGAAACACTGACAACTTGTCAGTTCCAATACACTCAACCCAAACAAGCAGGTAGAGGATAGAGCCACTTGTAAGGTGCTTCACTACTAAAAGGTTTGCAATGTTTGCTCAGCACACAAAGTGTAAGAACAGGTCTGTGACAGCCCTGAGCCTTGTGGAAGATGAAGCAAAGATGTGGAGTGCTTAAGCAGCAGGCCCACCTCTGTGTAATTTCCTCCCTTGTGTTTTTCTTGTAGAAGAGAGATGCATACAATGATACCACCTTCAAGTATCTCAACTCTTTTCGGGAATCTGGCCCTTCACTATGTCATTTGCTCAGGAACAACAACACTGGAGTTCTTGAATCACCTAAGGCTGCTTTAATATATATAATATATATGGCAG